TCAACACGCGAAACTCCCACCATTGCAGCCAAAAGTATTGGTGCAAAGATAATGCAAAGTTTTGCGACATGGCCTCTTCGATCAAAACACCTTATTTTCCCTGATAAGTACCACGCCAGAAAAGTGAGACCTGCAAAGGACCCTACACAATGACAAACAACTTTCAATCTTTCAGCGAGTTAAAAAAAAAATCAATAATTGGATGCCAATTCAATATAAGAATGTTTTGGATGATGAAGCTTAGAAATTTATGTTTGGTAGCAAGCCCACCAAGTTAACACGGTAGTAGATTCAAGGCCACGTAGAGGGTTTTGATACAAGCTACAGTATAAGCAAACATGTGTTGACATAAAAGTTGCAAGTATATGGTTAGCATGACATTGAAAGGCCACTCTGGCATGCTACGAAGAAAGTCATCCTTGTGGAGATATTACTATGATATGGAATTAGAATATTTGTAAAGCTCAATTTGTTAGTTAGCTGGATAGTATCCTATTTACATTGGACCACTTAATGGAAGATAATACTGTATACGTTTCCTATATTTAATTAAGGCCTTAACAATAATACTTGAAGCACTTGGTCATTGATCAAAGACGTTGGTTCCGTTAGTCTTGAGAGGAAGATTGTCATGTTTTTGTTTTGAGGGGCAGCATCCTTACCCTAACAATAATACTCAAAGCTCTTGGTCATTGTTCGAAGAGGTTGGTCTTTTTAGGCTTGAAAGGATGATTATTAGGTAGCAGAATTTCCATAGGTTTGTAAACTATGGGACAATGTATAAAAAAGCTCAATGCGCGATGAAGCAATAAGGGTTATGCAGCGCCTAGGTGCACCTAAGGCGCGCCTCAATGCACCTCTTTGAATAGTGGCGCACTATATAAACAGGACAAAAAATTCAGAAATTTGCATCAGATGTGCCTCAGGTGCGCCTCAGGTGTGCCTCGTGCGCCTAATTAAAAATGCCTCGCCAGGCCAAAATAAGCGCTTACCCCCTATTGCCTTGCGCCTCAGCGTCTTAGGCGTGCTTTTTCAAATACTGCTATGGGAGAGGGTCTCAATACGAGTTATGGTATAAGCAAACAATTTTTGACAAATAAGTTGCGAGAATCTGGGTAGCCGACATTGTAAGGCCACATTGGCAAGCTACGAAGAATTCAACCTTTGTGGAGATAGTTGTTCCAACTTCCAAGTGTAATACTTTGTTTGTTTGTTTGTTAATTTTAGTTATGACAATTTTGCATTTAGATCGAATTTTTGATTAGGAGGTAATGTGGCATTGGTTTACAAGACTAATCAAATTATAGTGTTCTAGTATACAAGTAATTAGTAAACTTTGTTGGTTTTAAAATTATGTTAGCTTCTAAACCTTCTAACACTCTATAATCTATATCTAGGGAGAGTCTAGAATATTGTTTACTTGATGGAGGATTAGTACTCTAGCTTCTATATAAAGAGGACAGCTTGGGTTATAAATCACAAACACAACATACAGGAGAGAATTTACATACGCTCATAGGATACAACATGCAGTCAGTGGAGAAGGGGTTGTAATTCCCTGGATGGGTGTCAAATTGTGGGAGAGTGCAAGGACCCAAGCACACAGCGAATCTAGAATAGAGCTCTTGAGATGTCCTGATAATTTTATAATTTGCTGTTGCATAATAAGGGAAATAGCAATTATATCACTTACATGAAGTATGCCCACTTGGAAAGCTTTTATGCCCTTCTTTGATAACACTCTTAAAACCAGTGCAAATAACATCTCCTGTGACATTATGATACACCTGGTGAATAATAACAATGAAACCAGTGAATAGGTTAAAGAAGCGCCCAAATTTCTGATTGCCCATATGCTGAAAATAAACATAACTAGTAAAGAAGTTGATCCTACCTCTTTTCCATTAGGGAAACAACGCCAAAAGAAATCAGGACGAGGCCTGCCAACTCCATCTTTAATTGCATCAGTGATAACAGAAGTTATAAGCACAGAAAACAAGAGGCCTGTATATCAAAAGAACACGAAGTTTAGTATTGTTCAACCAAGTGGACCGTTTATCCCAATTCCCAACTCCTTTCTAAACAATAAAAATGTATGCATACCCAGAGTTGCTTGATGGAAATCATAGACATCCTTCCGAATGAAATAATAGATAAGAATGACACAGAAGGGTAACAAGATTGCAACAATCTGCGATCAAAAAGAAGAGAATAAAAATGTATCTGTTATCATCCTTGATTCTCTACTCAGCATAAGTTAGTCCTGATAACCAGATAGGACATAATATACCATAATGACCAAACATACCGGGACAGCCCAAAAAGGAACGGTATTGCCTTTCAGAGGATACCTAAGATCTTCCATCATGCCTTTCCCCACAAATCGATGAAACGGCTCAATAACATTCAGCACAATATCAATTACCACTAGAAGGAAAAGAATGAGCCAATCATGCATATGTATTTTAGCCACTTGCACACCATGGGACCTCAAAGTGTGAGCACCAAGTTGAATTTCAGGCATTTTCACCAACTAAAGAGAAACAAATTGATCAATATTGTGTATAATTTCAACAATTCCCTTCAAATCTCCAAGAAAATTCAGAATCTACGATAAAACGTACACTACATCTGTTACGAAATAAGCACATACAAATACAGCAGTCTGAATTTTGGAATTATAAGGAAAATAAGAGTCAAATAATGGACCCTTCAGACCTTCACTCATGCTTTGTTATAGAATTGAACACCAATTGACGAGTAAATACTTGTATTGAATATGCACATCACAAAAATCAAGGGAAAATCTGAATATTTCATAAAAATAACCCAGAAAATACAATGCTGCAGCTTAATAAACAAGCGCAAATGCTATTTATCATTTTACCTTATTCAAAACCCTTAATAATCAACTCAGCATGTCTTCAAGCATACAAAGTACTATTGGAAAAAAAAAAAAACAAAACAAAACAAAACAAAAACAGGACAACAACAAAACCAAACCACTAGTAAAGCATGTCAAGCTTAATTATAAACAATCTAACACTACCACCCAAAAGCTAACATTCATAATCACCAAAACTACAAACCAATTATCATTTACAAACTCTATTCACCAAACTAAACGAACTAATATAAAGAAATGGGGAAAGAACAACATATCATATGATAAAAATCATAAAATACACGAGAAAACCCAATTCTTAAGAAACTAAAAGCACACTTTACAACCCAGTTCACAAAAATTCCCTCAAATAAAAAAATGTTCAGCGCATGAAATTTGTTCATGAAAAACACAAAAAACTTAGAAATTTCTTGAAAGAAAAGCAAAATTTACTTACCAAATGATGATGAACTGAAGATAGTTGCTCCAGAATTAGTGAAAAAGGGTGGATAAGAGGAAGATTAAAGGGTCTAGAATTTACCCACTCTAATCAAACTCTATAGACTGAGAAAGTGACTTCAGTTTTAGAGAGAGAAAAGAAGAGAGAGAAACAAGAAACGAAAAGCAACACCAGAAAACGACATGAAAGATACAAATACAGCGCATATTATATGGACCAATCCAAATTTATGGCTGGGTTTTTGTGGTTTTTTTGATTGATTGCTTTTTTATTTATTCATTTACTTATTTGCTATAATTCCGAAAAATAAAAATAAAATTCTTCAAAAATTTATGATTGTACGGAGTACTACTGTACTAGTGATTAATTTGCTCTTAAATGGTATTCAAGATATTAATGATAGAGTAAGTATGATTTTACGCGGAATAAGGAAAATATTGAGATCTGATTTTTTGAATTTGGAATTTTCAAAATTGTCAGATATCTAACGGTCCTACCACTATTATTATCATCATCCCAAAAAGTTCTTTACTTTCCTTCTGTGTTTTTTTTTGTTTTTTATTTTTCCCCATTATTATCATAATCATTGAGTATTAGTAACTCCTTATTCCTTTTTGGGTGTCTCCATATTACATACTCCCTTCATCCCTTTATTTTTGCCCCATTTTCATTTCTTGGGTCAAACTTTAAAAACTTTGACCATAATTTATGGTTACTCTATAAAAGATAATATAATCATGAGTGGTCTTGTTAAATTCGTCTCATTGTATATTTCATTAATATCATGTTTTTATAATTTTTACGTATATGAAAATAAAGATATAGACGTTTTAAAATGCGTCTTGGAGACCGCGTACAGTCTAATGGGGCAAAAAAAATTGGGACTGAGGGAGTACTCTATTAAGCCCTAATATTGTATTTAACTAATGGGCCAATGTTTACGGTCTAGTCTCTTGTTTTAGGTGAGCTCTTTCCCAAATTAAGGTCAAGAAGAACCGCAATTCCCAAATTGCAGCCAAAGTTTTAAGAATTCCCAAAGTACCGTCCACGTCACCGGTTCAGGGGGAAGAAATTTTAAATCCGGTCTACAGAAAAACCGCTACCTGAAGTAGCGGTTTTTACTAATAAACCGCTACTTCAGGTAGCGGTTTCTTTTTAATAAACCGCTACTTCAGGTAGCGGTTTTTGTTTAATAAACCGCTACTTCAAGTAGCGGTTTTCTAGCAGGTATAATTTCCCGATTTCACTTTCCTCTTTCATTTTCGTCTTCTCACCAAAATCCCATCCACGCCTTCCACCAAAATCACACCTCCTTCAACGGAAGCCGGCGCAGCCAAGGAATCCACCTACGCCGCCGGAGCATTCCTCAGCAACGAAGGCCGCCGCTGTTGACGCCGAGGGTTCGACTTTAGTGGTCGGCTTCGCTAATTTCAGAAGAAACGTGCTGATCTTCTTGTTTGTGGTAAGTGCCCTAAGTATTTTTTGTATTCAGTTATTGGGTTTGTTGTTGTTATTGAGTTTGTTGTTGTTATTGAGTTTCAGAATTGTATGTATGTGTTGTTGTTGTTGGTTTTGGTTGTGTTGTTGTTGTTAGTGTTCTTGTTTATTGTTGTTGTTATTGAGTTTCGGTTTTGGTTGTGTTGTTGTTGTTAGTGTTCTTGTTTATTGTTGTTGTTATTGAGTTTCAGAATTGTATGTATGTTTGTGGTTGGTTTTGGTTGTTGTTGTTGATTTACTTACCTTACATATAACCCTTGTAGAATTATTAATGGTTTCGATCACATTACTCAGTTTAGGTTGCTATAATTGCTGATTTTGAAAGTGAAAATAGAGCTTCTATACACAAAGTACATGAGCTCAAAGTACATGTAGTCATGACTTATGCCCATGTTGAGCTTCAAGAGGTAAGCCGTTTCTGGAGGGATCTACTTTGAAGTTGACGTGGCTCAGACGTCACTTCTCACAGATGCCAGAGGGAGCTGATGACTTGACAGTTCAGCGCCATAGCCGTGCTTACATTCTCACTCTCATGGGATCTATTCTGTTCGCCGACAAGAGTGGCGATGCTGTGTCACTCTACTACTTGCCGTTCCTTCGAGACTGGGGGACAGCTTCGACTTACAGCTGGGGGAGTGCGACTCTTGGTTTTTTGTATCGGCAGCTATGTCGAGGATGTCAGCGAGATTCAAGACAGATTGGAGGCCCGCTCATCCTACTACAGTTGTGGTCGTGGGAGCATATTACTATTGGCCGACCATACATTAGGAGGCCTCGAGATCCGCCACAGGAGGACCCTGAGGCTGAGGATGAGGATGACATTTTGGGGACTCAGCATCAGCGAGGTGTTGACCCTTTGGCGTGCAGGTACAATGTTTGCTTCAAGTTCATGTTCTTACAATTCTATCTTTCAAGAATTATTATTAACATGTCTTTACAGGTGGTTACGTGTCCATCTATCGTGTGCGCATACTGCTTCTGGACTACCATACTACAGAGATGCGTTTGACCATCAGCGCGAGGACCAGGTACAATCGGTGTTTCTTTTTTTTTGTGCATTGTATTTCTTCCATTATGTTAGTCATATACATGTTGACATACTTGTTTTGGGAATTAGATGATTTGGCAGCCATATACTGAGGCGGTGATGGATCGACTTCCGGAGATTTGTCGCTCAGACATGCACATTTGGCGTTCACGGGCACCTCTGATATGGTTTGACGTCGTTGAGTTCCACCTCCCAGACCGAGTCCTTCGTCAGTTCGGGTTAGACCAGCCGATCCCACAGGATGTAGACACGGACGTTGCTCTACACAGGAAGGATCGAAGGGGACAGCGTAATTGGGAGATTCGGCATTCGGACCATGTACACGAGTGGAGTCGACGAGAGGCATTAGTCGTCCAGGGATACCCGTTCACTGGGACTTCTTCCCCGGCCATGACAGAGTACATGGCTTGGTACCGTCGCATCACGAGACTGGTCATTACTCCACCTTCGCAGGAGCGCCCCCCGAGTCATTACCAGCCAGCTACCTCGGACCTCCTGCTTGTATGAACTTCACTTCATTTCAATCTAGTTCTTACGTTTTTGATTTCATTTTACTAACATTAAAACTACACTTAAATGTAGGCACATGCATTTGCTGATTTGCACGTCCAGCTATCGGGAGCTACTGAGACCATCTCCCACTTGCCACCAGAGACGGCTATACCATTTGCCATACAGACGATGCAGGGTTTTACATCATTTTGTGGCCAAACCTTGTCTAGGGTGGGGCAGTCACACCTTATTCAGCAGCCTCGACCGTCCACGTCTTCATCTTCTACTGTGCACACTATGCCGATCAGACCACCACCTCATCGTGGAGGCCATTCAGCACGTGCCTTCCGTCCACCGACTCCTTCTCAGCATACTATCATGACATCTCCTCCACTAGTGCATCGCCAGTATCAGAGAAACCGACGGCGTAGCAACACTACGTCTGGGGTTGGAGTTGGCCTGGATGACATTCCAGAGGAGACAACTGCATCATCTTCATCGTCACCTCATGGGAAGAAGCAACGCCCGAGCTAAGTGTATATTTTGGAACTAAACTAATTTTTTTGTAAATGCTTAGAATTGGATTTTGTTATATTTAATCAATTGAAAAATATTCGACTTTGCAATTTCGACTTCCTTAGATCTTCATAAACTTGTTATTTATGGTGGTTGTGTTGAAAATATGCTATATATCTCATGTTTTACAGGTACACAACTTGCAGGTTTTTTTTTTTGAGTGATTATGCAAGTTTGAAAAAAAAACCAGTCCAGGGTAAACCGCTACTTCAAGTAGCGGTTTTTCAAAGTAAACCGCTACTTGAAGTAGCGGTTTTCCAAAATAAACCGCTACATTTAATAGCGGTTTTTTGTAAACAAACCGCTACTTCAAGTAGCGGTTTTAAACTAAGAAACCGCTACTTGAAGTGGCGGTTTATTGCAAAGAAACCGCTACTTGAAGTAGCGGTTTACCCTGGACCGGAAAAAAAAAACCGGTTTTTTAACCAGTGCTTACGTGGACGGTAGAATGGGAATTCCTAAAACTTTGGCTGCAATTTGGGAATTGCGGTTCTTCTTGACCTTAATTTGGGAAAGAGCTCGTTTTAGGTTGTATATAAACCTCATAAATAGATAAATACAACTACGGAAAATCAATTCTTAATATACTCTTATATCAGTATCAAGTTAAGCTTTGATCTAGTGGAAAATATTGTGTCTTTCAATCTTTAGGCTAATAGAGCAATTTTCAGTAGAGACACTTTAAGCGTGGGGATCGTTTAGCCTTCCCCCAATTATTAAAGTGCCTAAACAACAAACATTGAACCATTCTGTCAAAAAATATATATATATATATATTGAACCACTTTAAAAATTTAAAATGTTAATTTGCAAATATTGAATCAAAAAATCTGTGAGCATTAAGGTTTGGTCAGGATCTTTCTCCTCACCTTAAAAATGTTTCCTTCATTCCTTTAGTATTGCAATAATTACTATGTTCAAAAGTTTTACAAATATTACAACGTTACCATATATGCATATGCTTTTTCTATATATCTCTCATCATCACAGGTCCCTATGTTTATTTCTCTCTCTCTCTCTCACCATCTTAATTTTTGTGTCTTACCCCTTATTACAATATTACGGGAAAGAAGTACATATATGCTCTCGTACGACATTTTTCAACTCCCAAACCAACCCTTGTACAATATTTTATACTTAATTTTTTTTAAAAAAATTTACAACATGAATGGAAATTCTATTTTTAAAGTATAATTTTAACTTTGAATATGTTTGTTTAGATAATGGTAAAAAAAAAAAGTTATAAAAAAGATACTTTATAGAATAACTTTGGATATTAATTTTCTATTATGATCTCTACTATATAAGAGAACTAGATTAGTCTTGTACGATTCACGATTTTGACAAATAAATTTGTTATATTGTCACAATTGCAAAGTTATTTGACTAACTTTGGATATTAATTTTTTTTTTGAAGGCAAATTTGGATATAATTAATACACTAAATTTCCAAACAATAAAAAAAAATGAATAGCGAAATAGTATGATAACTCATACTGTTTGGACAATTATGCCCAAAAAATGTATATTTACTCATTTGCCCTCATTAATGTTAAATATTTTTTTTAACTTTTAAGAATAGTGTGCAAAAAGTGCTACCAACAACTAAAATTATGACATAAAGTGAAGCCAAAAGATCTTTCTGGACATGACTGACAATGACGCGTGAATCGTGCGCGTTAGTTTACATAATTGACCATCCTTCACTTAACTTACGTAAAAAAAAAATATATTTAATTTATATGTATTAGTATAGATCAATCCATAAATGCACAATTACTAATATTCAATCAATTAATTAATTTAATCAAAATCGACTTCAAGTGTATTCAATAGTAGCTAATAAAGAAGAGAGATAGAAATGTAATTTCTTCAAAAAATTAATAAGACTAGGCAATATATTAGTAAGACAATTTTTTTTTTTTTTTTTTTTTTTTTGACAGGGACAATTAATAAAGAAAAGAAAATGCTATTATTTAATAAAGAACTCATTTGCTATAATCAAAGGGGGCAAAAAATTAATCACCCTCTTTGATCTCTAGTAAAGTGGGAGAAAAAAATATATGTTGCCATTCGAATATAATACAACAAAGCTAATAGGCGACTTAAGAGTGATTCAAAAATAAACAATGTCAAAACAAAAAATTTTAAGAGCATTATAAAATGGTAGTAGTAAGAATTAATATAATAATTGAATTGAAATCAGCAATGTCAAAACATCTGTGTGCACTGGAAGAGTTGGATGGATCTTTGTACTCCCAAGTGCTTGGGGGGCATGGGTTTTAGAGACTTCAGAGTTTTTAATGATGCCCTCTTCGGTTTTCAAGCATGGAGACTTATTAGTTACCCAAATTCTTTGCTGAACAAGGTTCTAAGCGCCTAAGTACTTTGCGAGGAAGAGTTTTCTTGAAGCAAATCTTGGTGTGGGGAGCAGTTTCTCGTGGCGTAGTATATGGTCTTCAAAGGCTTTAATTAACGAAGGCTTGATGTGGAGAATTGAGAATGTGTCCTGTAGACACCTGAATGTGTCTCCCCAAAAAACCAAACCTAATAATGATTATCTTTCACGTCTTTGATTATCGAGTTAGGTGAAGAGTTGAAAATTCTCGTGAATTCCCTTAAGCCTTAAATATATTCCTAACCTTTCCTGAAATGTTTTTAGCCAAAATCATTTATTTCGTGCCTTTTAAACCAAAACCATTCATTTCGTGTTTTAGAAAATCATTCATTTCGTGTCCTTTTATAAAACGTCCAAACCAGTTTATTTTGGACAATGATTCTGGTTCAATTATTGTATAGTTGGATGGAGCTTGAAAAGAGATTTATAACTAAGGGTGTCCGTTCGGTTTTCGGTTTGGATTTAGTCCAAATCCGATCCAATCCGAAATATAATTCGGTTTTCAATTTTCCAATCCGATCCGATCCGAATTTCTCTCTTGATCCAATCCGATCCAATCCGAATTACAATTCGGTTATTTGGATCCGATCCGAAAATCCGAATTATAATACATTATTTTTTTAGCGCCTAATACAATTATAAAAATAAAGCTTTACTATAAATAAAAGTCTTCAAAATCATGATTAAAATACATAGTTCAACGTCAAGTCATTAATTAATTAATACAAAGTCTCTCTAATTTATTTTATGTAGTATTAGTATTTGAGTTAAACTTCAAAATATACAGAAATGCATATTTATACAAGCTTAATTTTACAATTCGGTTTTCGGTTTGGATTGGATCCAATTAAGGTTAATCCGATCCAATCCGAAAATCCGAATTTCCAAAAAATCTCAATCCGATCCGATCCGATTTAAAGTTCGGATCCGATCCAAATTGATAATTCGGTTTGGATTGGATTGGATTTCGGTTTTTATCCGAATTATGGACACCCCTATTTATAACGATATATTATAAGCCCAAATCTGACTTATATCGAATAAGTTATGGCCAAAATACTAAACTAAGCCCAAACCGAACCTAGATCCACCTTACCTACGACCCAATGATCATGTGAGGGTCCAAATACCTTAATCCCAATTCTAAACCAATTAGGATTCATTAGGACCTTCTAGAACTCTCTAAAAGGTTCTAATTTATCCTTTCCGAAAGATAAAAAAGTTCGAGATTAAATAAAACTCCTCTTTTTGATAATCTTTATTCTATTCGAATTCAAAGACGTTCGGATATGATTTTCGCGTCTCATTATCCAAATATTATATGGTTGGACAGCCCTTAAAATTATTTTTCCAATGATATATCATAATCCCAATTCCGAGCTATGACAAAAAAGATATGAACGAAATACCAAACTCTATTCAAAACTGACATTGTCCCACTATTTCAGCCATATTTTTTATTCTACAAAATCTATCAACCTGATTCTAATTGGGTTGGAAAGTAGGCTTTCAGAGATTTCCAATAACATATTATTTATCTTATTCCGATTTCTGGATCAAAAGATATGATAAAAACAAAAATCGCAAAAACTGTTGTTTATCGCGCCGCGATAAGCCTGTCGCGCCGCGATGGAACCTGTTTTATTCCAATTCGAATTCTGACTCTTTTCTGATCCTTCGATCCTCTTTTTTCTAATATATAGAGGTCGTTTCACCTCATTTTCAATCATCAATAAGGTTGATCACCAACAATCATCATCTAATCCTCTCTCTAAGCTAAAGCTTTTCTTTCTCTCTTCTTTCTTGATTTCAAGCCTTAGCCTAAACACGTCCTAATACACATTCTTGATACTTTTCCCAAGCAAACACCATACCTCCTTCACGAGCTTTGAATCCTCCTATCCAACCTTGAAGTTGCCTTCGACCTCGGCGTGAAAGGTTGATGGTTTTGAGGGTTTGGTCCCAAATCTATATTTCAATTCTTATTTGATTTATTTGTTTGATTTAATCTTTTTTGAAGTTATTAACGTGTGTATTATTTTGATAGAAATAGATACGAGGTATTATGAGTAATTCGATTACTTAATTATTCTTTTTGATATAGAAATCATGCTTAGAATCTTATATTAATTCCTAGTATCATGTTAGGATATTATTTTTTAATTCCTAGTATCATGTTAGGATATTATTTTAATTCCTAGTATCATGTTAAGATGTTGATTTTGATTCCTAGTAGTATGTTTAGGGTGTTAATTAATATTTCTAATATCATGTTGGTTCTAGTATCATGTTTAGGCTAATGCTTTGATTATAATTTTTATTAGTGACATACTAGGATTTGTTGTTAATCCGTTTAGTAACATGCCTAGGATCTTATGCTAATGATGTTTTGATTATTATGATGATTGTTGTGTCAATTAATTATACGTTGCTTGATTATTCATGATTTATTGTTATTGCTTGATCAAACCTTTTCTTGCAGGTTTAAAGGAAATTTGTACTTGAAATCACGCCTAACAAGATAATTAATAATTTGTTTTAGGGCTAATATGATTTTAATTCAAGTGATCGCCAATAATAGATTTGATTGTGCATTAATAATCAATCAACGTAGATTAAATAGGTTTAGGATTAACTTAATGTATGTATGTT